TCAAGTCCCAAGTCCTGCCGTTTCTGTTTCGAGTCCTTTCTAGTCCTTTTCAAACAAACTAACAATATATTTACACAGATCACTTTGGGTTTTGGAGAAAGTCTCGAGTCATGTCGAGTCAAAGGGCTCGAGTCCAAGTGAAGTCACGAGTCATTGATGTTAAAGTCCAAGTCGAGTGGCAAGTCTCTTTACATTTGGTCAAGTCGAGTCTAAAGTCATCAAATTGATGACTCGAGTCAGACTCGAGTCCAAGTCAAGCGACTCGAGTCCACACCTCTGCTAAATAGTGATAAAAGCACTAGAGAAGTCAAAGAACAAGATTCTTACCGTGCATCCAGCTGTGTCCAGATGGGAGAAGGATCGGAGAAGGAGGTAAATGATTGAACCAAGTGTTTAAATGTGGCCCATGTCTGGGCTTCAACTTTACTGTAAGAACCTATTTGTGTCTGTAGAAGAAGTTCTCCCCGTGTTCTGTTTCAACACCTGAATATCACATAAGCGACTATAGGGACCTGACATTTTGGTTTTTAGGCACACCTGCCGCCTACCGTACTAGTGTAGTGTACCAGTGTGCAGTCTCATGGTATGACCAGTACTTTTTGAGATAACTCAGCCTGCTCTTTAAGCCTTGATGCTAAATTAATATTCGAATCCAACCAATGTGAATTGTCACACACATTTGTATTGATTATAACTGTTTAATTGTTACATCCCTAGTGTCCAGCCTCTGAGTTGTCCGTCCAGAAAAATTCTGGTTGACATATAGTTTGTAGACTATAGGCTGGTATCAGTGTTAGCAGACTATTGTTTATGGAGTGACAGCTGGTAGATGGTTGAAAAACCAGTTGAACAGCCACACAGACAGTGGACAATAGCCAGCTGTTCAGGAGCATGAGCCAAAGTTGAAAGTTGAAAGTTAATGTATGGACAGACTCACAGTCAGAGGCCTGGTTGTCTAGTGATTGACTCTCAAAACAATAAACGAAATCAATCATTGAAAAACAAGAGGAACCAAAGAATCTGAAGGTTTAAACCAGAGATGTCAAACTCATTTTGGTTCACGGGCCAGATTCAACCCAATTAGATGTCAAGTGGGCCGGACCAGTACGATCATAACGTAATTAACCAAGAATCACATTGAGTCCATGTTTTTCCTCATTTGTTTTCATGCAAAGAATTACAAGTATATTTGATATTTATTTTTGTTTATGCATATTTAATTAAATATAATTATACAAAAACAAAAAAGCTGTATCTTTGACACCCCTGGTTTAAACAGACAAGAAACCGGACACCAG